TAGGTATTTTTATTAAGTATTCATACTAAGTATTATTATATCCCACAAGTACTTATAATGAATCTTAGTTTAAAAAAAACATTTTAAATTTTAGTTTGAATTCATTGACTCTTTTTTTTTTTTGGTTTTTTGAGACAGGGTTTCTCTGTGTAGCTTTGCGCCTTTCCTGGAGCTCACTTGGTAGCCCAGGCTGGCCTCGAACTCACAGAGATCCGACTGGCTCTGCCTCCCGAGTGTTGGGATTAAAGGTGTGCACCACCAACGCCCGGCTATTATTAACATTTTTAATAGAGGCCCAGCCATTGCTGAAACTTGCAATTTCTAAACGGAAATTGGGGCAAATGAACCAGTAAACAGATGAATAGACATTGTTGATTTTGTTTTAAGACTTATTTTTAACTGTGTGTGTATGTGTGCAGATATATGCATACGAACAAGTAAGCACCCTCCTGGAGCTGGATTGACAGCTGGTTGTGAGGCACCCAATATGGGCACTGGGAACAGGAAGTGCTCTTAACCCATGAGCCTTCTCTCCAGCCCCTAAATTTTGATTTTAATCTGTGTGTGTAATTATGTGATGCATGTCGGCTGCTCTTTCTCTCTCCAGCACTGTTACTGTGCCTCTCTTGGTTCACGCTGTGCCCCAGCACACTGGTCTCCCACACACATTCATGGTATGACTTTGCAGAAGTGTGTGTGTTTCCTGTATGGCCTTCCCCTATTGGCGGACATGAAGATGAAGCTTCCTGTATGGCATTCCTTATTGGTGGGCACGGAGGTGAAGCTTCCTGTACGGCATTCCTTATTGGTGGATATAGAGATGAAGCTTCCTGTATGGCATTCCTTATTGGTGGGCATGGAGATGAAGCTGGAAGTGCCCCCAGAGTCAACATGTGGAGTTGTTAATCCAGCTGAGCTAGATTTCATCCAGCTGGATGACTCCACGTTCGTAAATCCCCGATCTTTCTTGTTTCTTCATCTGTCAATCTCTGCCTCATGGAGCTTTGTCCAGGATTACTCAAAACAATCAGTGTAAAGCCTTTAGGATGGGCCTGGCCCCCAGCAAGCACTCGGAACAAGGGAGAAGCTGTTGGTGTTTTACATCCCCCTTTGTCTTTTGCAAGGCAGGGGCCTAAGACAGCTTCCTAGAGGGTTCAGATGGGCAGGGCTGCACGCACTTGGGTAGCCTGAGTTCTGTTTTATGGCTTTGTTCATTAACCCCTTCCTGGCTGGGGACCACTGCCCTCATGCAATGCAGTCTGTCCCAGTCCAGGCTGCGCAATGCTGGCACTGCACCTCATGGCATGGCAGCCCTCACCGTGTGCCAGCAACTGGGTACGAGATTTCTACAAGCTTTGCCCACCCCATCAGTACCATGACCCTCCAAGATGGATGCTATTGTTCCCATTTTACAGGCTAGAAAACTGACACTCACCAAGAGAAAGTGATGCACTCAGCATCACAGAACTCCAAATTTGAAGGCAGAACAAAGGGTGGAAAGGAGTTTGTTGGTTGTTGTTATTGTTATTGTTATTATTATTATTGTTTTGGTATTGTTTTTTCGAGACAGGGTTTCTCTGTTGCTTTGGAGCCTGTCCTGGATCTTGCTCTGTAGACCAGGCTGGCCTCGAACTCACAGAGATCCACCTGCCTATGCCTCCCAAGTACTGGGGATTAATTAAAGGTGTGTGCTTTGGCAGGGGTTCGAGGCGAGTCAAAGGGTACAAAGATGTAGTTACACCTAGAGGTGGAATGAGAAGGATGGCTAAGAATATTGGAGAGAGCAGGGCCTAGTGGTATGATGCAGAAGTTGAGGCAGGAGGATCGCAAGTTCTAGGCCAGCCTGGGAACTCTAAATGAAAAAAGAAAGGGTGGGGGAGGAGGGAAGGAGGAAAGGAAGGCTGAGGCGGGAGGGAGAGGCTGGAGAGATGGCCGAGCAGTTAGGAGCACTTGGTGCTCTGGCAGAGGACCAGAGTGAGTTCTGGCACC